GGTTTGTCAAGGGCATCCGGGTCTCCCTCAAGGGCTAGCAGCATGGCACAGAGATGGGGAGAAGTGGCTGCCAGGAACTCCAGCTCAAACTGCCTGTCCTCTAGGATGTCACGACCAAGGGCAGACTCACCCTCGGCAGGCAGAGGACGGGTAGGGCAAGAAGCGATCACACAGGTGGCATAGTCAAGATAACGTGTGGCGGCAAAGTGGCGGCAAAGGCAAGCAGCTACGACGGCAACAAGAGTCGAGACTGATGACGGAGAGGCAATGGTGTCCGTGACAAGAGAGGCAAGAACGCGTGAGACAACAGGACGAGCAATACGGTAGTAGTTAGTGAAAGGGTGAGAGGAGGCTGTAAGATTCGACGGGAGGAGACAGAAGAACAAACTGAGGCGGAGAACGAGGAGGACTAGTATGAAACAAAGACAGTACGGTGGTCCTAGACAGGAGACGAGGCACGAGCACTCGGGGGACAACGATTGGTCCAGGCTTGCGGGACAAGAGGATGAGGCGGCTGTGACCGAGGAGGAGAGAAAACAGCCGAGGACGCGTCCGGAGGAGGAAGACCGTGAGCAGGAGGAGGAGGTGAGCGGTCCGGAGGGGAGGAAGGGAGACCAAGGGTCCGAAGACCACTCACAGGTGGGGACAACAGTCGCAACTGTGGCTGTTGCTGCGTCTGCATCTGCTGCTGCTTCTTTCGCAGCTCCAGCTGCTCCTGCACCAAACGCTCATGCTCCTCTCGCTCCAGCTGCCGAAGATGCTAAAGATGCATCAGGTAATCGACGCTAGGCTGAGCAGGCGCCAGAGTCAATGCCTCCAGCTCCAACACCCCCAGAACCAGCACCTCCAGTGCTAGCACCTCTAGCTCCAGTACCTCCAGCTCCAGCACCCTCAGAACCAAGACCTCCAACGCCAGTGCCTCCAGCGCCAGCAACTCCAATACCAGCACCTCTGGTGCTAGTACCTCCAGCTCCAGCACCCCCAGAACTAGCACCTCCAGTGCCAGTACCTCCAGCTCCAGCACCCCCAGAACTAGCACCTCCACTGCCAGTACCTCCAGCTCCAGCACCCCCATAACCAGCACCTCCAGCTCCAGCACCTCTAGTCACAGTGCCCCCGACACCAACTCCCTCAGAACGAGCACCTCTAGTATCAGCACCTCCAGTAGCAGCACCCGTAGAGTCCAATTCGACTTGCAGCGGTAGTACTTAAGGCCGTTGTGGTGACTGTGAAGATGACTACGGTGAGGGAGACGACATAGGACGTGCTTCCGAGGGAAGGGGGGTAGCGTGAGACACACCTAACGGGGCATGACCTGGGTGGGGTGGACGTACCAGAGGAGCAGGACCAGGAGGAGGAGTGGAAGGTAGGAAGAGGGGAGGGGGAGGAACCGGGAGACCTCAGTGGGGGTAGCGGGCGTAGTAGGACAATGACTCATTAAAGGTGACGTCACGTAAGTCGAGGAACCGGTGGAGGGGCGGGTGGTAAAACGTGAAATCAGGGGCGTCCACCGGGAAACCAAGGAAGACACAGGGGAGGGTGTGAGCCGAGAGCTTGTCCGCGGAGGTATCGCGGACATGCGCAAGGCAGCCCCTGGCACGAAAATCCGACGCAACACCAGGGGACCCTGTCCAAAGACTGGTCGGTAAATCCTCTGCGCGAGAGACACGCGGCCAGAGGTTGAGCTCATGAGCGGCGTAGCGAACCACATAGGGTCACAGAAAATGGTGCGGTCGATCTCCACTCCGAAAGCATTCATGATTGAGTGATGTCTTGCTCGCGACAGAAGCCAGCAAGCACGCCAAAGCGAAAATCGCCCTTACAGTCGGAGTGGAGAAAAAGAACATGACTACTACGCTCGGCACTAGTGGCCACAACCACGGGATCAGGTTAGAAGTCACGTCGGACTTCTGCTAGAAGGGGAACACTGTGGTGTAGTGGGTGAAGTCGTCGACGACCACCAGGAAGAAGCTCTCCCCTCGCGCCCAGGGCAAGTGGCGGGGCCCAAGACGTCCAAGTGGAGAGTCTGGAGGGGCGCGGGGGCCGGTCGAAGGGAGGAGGAGTGAGGGGTGGTGCGCAGCCCACCCTCGACGCAAGGAGTGCACGGCCCAAAGAGGCGAAGGAGAGAGCAAAGCAAACTCGGACGGGAGACCTGAGACAAGACAGACGCGAGACATGTGACAGAGGCGTAGGAGGGACGGTTGACCAAGACGGCGGTGCCAAAGTACGGTCGGGTGGATGATTGACTGATAGGAGCACGACGCAGCAACCTGACCAGATGCAGCTACCTGGGGGGACGCAGTGTGCAGTGTGAAGAGACCTGAGTGGGGTTCCCAGGAGAAGGTCGCAAGAAGTGCCCAAGTGGAAGCGTCCGTACAGGTCGCAAACCTCTCTTATGCAGGAAAAGTGACCGTGACCCTGCGGTCTTGAAGGTGTCCAACACCCACCACGTATTTGTGAACGAAGGGATGTGAAGACCGACAAGGAAACCAGAGGGGATGGCGGGACAGGGGAGCGTGGTAGAACTGCGAGCGACGGCTGGTCCAGAAGTGGGATCAGCCAAAGCGACTAGGACTAGTGCAGAACGTGGCGTCACGGTGGTGTGGTCGCGGAAGAATCACTGGAACGCGCTGGAGTCAAGCGTGAAGGAGAGCGACGCGTCAGCAGACGTCACACCTAGGCTAGTAGTTACATAAGCACCTACACTAGAAACACAATTAACTACACTAGCGACACGCAAAGATCCTATGCAAGGTACACATAAGTGAACAGATCCGACAGTACTAGGGGTACCCGAAAACGCAACAGAGTGAATATGATCTATGGACATTTCAAACACAGAAAAGCCATTGAGAAGTAGACCAGGCCAGCACAGGGGAACCAAGTCAGGCCCGAAACGCTCACGGTAAAGGCCATCGAGGAGACTGAAGCCGCGCAACGCGGAATGGTCAGGACGGCGGCAGGTAGAGCCAGAACAAGGGCCAGTCCGAATCTAGTACTGGCAAGAGCCGACGTCGCGACCACCGCGACGAGCCCCCCAGCTGGCTGGGCCGCTGCTGGGGCCGACACCCCTCGGACCACCAGGGCCCCACGGCTGCTGAGGGCACCACTGCTGCTGAGGGCGCCACTGCTGCTGAGGGCGCCACTGCTGCTGAGGTCCCCACTGCTGCTGAGGTTCCAGTTGCTGGAACTGCTATTGTTGTTGTCCCTGCTCCTGCATAACTGCTAGCTGAGCGCAGGAGCGGCAGGCTAGGAGCAGCTGGAGCTAGAAACGGCCGGGGCAAGGAGCAGTTGGAGCTAGGAGTGGCTGCAACTAGACACGTCAGAGCTGGGAGCAACTGGAGCAAGGAGCAGCTGGAGCTAGGAGCGGTTGGAGCGAGGAGTAGCTGGAGCTAGGAGCGGCTAGAGCGAGGAGTGGCTGGAGATAGACACGGCCGGAATGAGGAACGGCTGGAGTGAGACACGGCTGGAGCTAGAAACGCCAGGCTAGGAACTGCTGGCGCTAGGAGCGGCTGGAGCAAGGAGCGGCTAGAAGCGGCTGGAGCTAGGAACGGCTGGAGCTAGGAGTGGCTGGAGTGAGGAGCGAACGGAGCTAGGAACGCCAGTCTCGGAACGGCCGGGGCGAGGAGCGAGGGGAGCTAGGAAAGCCAGTTTAGGAACGTTAGGCTAGGTAAGACAGGCTAGGAACGCAAGTAACGTCAGGGTACTAACCTAATCTGCACCAGTAGAAGCAACTGCGGCTGCCAGCCGCCGCGAGAAATGCCTGTGGCAGTAGGCGTGTTGGAGACAACGGGCACGGCTGGTGGCTGCAAGGGCGGAGCGTATGCAGGTAAGGCGTGGGCGCGTGCTGTCGCTGTGGCGGCTGTGGTGCGCTGTGGCGTCTGGGAGGGTGCTGTGGGCGGCTACGGGCGGCTCTAGGCCCTTGTGGGTAGCTATGGCCGGCTGTAGACAGAAATGGGCAGATGTAGGAGGTGGTGGGTGGGCGGCTATGGGCGGCTGTGGGCGGCCGTGAGTGGCTAAGGCTGGGTGTGGGTGGCTACAGGCGGCCGTGGGTGGCTGGAAAGGCAGGTACAGGTAGCAGGGGCGGCTGTGAGTGGCGAAGGGCGGCTAGGAGGGGCGCTGTGGCAGCACCTAAGACATGCACCCAAGGCAGGCGCGCTTGCTAGATGCTGGCTGCACTTCGGGCTGCAGGCTGCACTTGAATGGGCGCGCTGGCGGTTGCAAGGCGTTGGCGCGCAGGCGCTGCTAGCAGCAGGTGGCTGCTGGCATGCAGGCTCGCTAGCGTGCTGGCTGTCGCGCTGCTACTGCTTGCATGCGCGGTTGCTGGCATGCATTCGCGCTAGTCTGCTGGCGGCTGCTGGCGGCTGCTGGCGTGCGATTTCTGGCTATGGGAAGGGGGGGAAAGGGGGGGAGGGGGCCCAGGGGGGCGCGCAACTTGCAGGAGAAAACCTACCGTAGGAGCTAAGGTACGGTAATTTAACAGTGAGTACCACCGGTTTGCGGAAGTGACGGGTTAATAAGGAGTAGGGTACAAGTAGCCCAGTCGAAAAAGTGTTGTACCCTGTGTAAGCCTACCACAGCTACTGTAACTAAGATATGTATAATATGACACAGACCACCAATCAAATCTCGTTTGACATTGCCATCACTGCACGCACAACCTACATACACATGATGTGATTTAATGGAAGCACATTGCTGGTGCTTGCCATTGTTCATCCAGCAAAGTGGCGCCAGGTTCAAAGGAGAGCACATGGAAGATTCCTCCACTTCCAAGGAAAATCCACTTCACTGGAAACCCAGTCTGCCAGCCAATATGCAAACCCAGAAAACGGAAAATGCAATGAGGGAAGCTGAGGTGAAGATGCAAAAGCAGCAGAGCAGAAAAGCATTGCAGTTGGAAAAGGAATGCAGCGCGCAACTAGGGCTGGCTAATGGCAGAACCGTTGTCGCAGTGAACGAAGTAAAGCAAACAGGTTGTCATGCCGTGCAGTGCAACACTATGCAATACATAGAAGAAAGGGAAAGGGCACCTCCATGTCCTCGTAGTAGAGAATGAAGTCAGCCTTGGTCCACACGCGGCAGCGGAACTTGCCGTCCACCACCTCGCCCTCCCTCACCAGCACCGCCCCCACCAGCCAGTCCGGCCGCAGAATGCCCACTGGGAACGTGATCACCTTGCACGAGCGCTCCTGCAGGTTGTAGTAGAAGCTGCGGGCGTAGGGTGGAGCATGGAGGGGGCGGGGAGTGATGGAGAAGGATTGAGAGGAGGCATCAAAGGCAGTGGGAGATGAGAGGGAGAGAGGACAACGAGCGGCGGCACACCCAGCAGTGGCAGCAAGAGTTGAAGCACCTGAAGCACCTGAAGCACCTGGAGCACCTGAAGCACCTGGAGCACCTGGAGCACCTGGAGCACCTGTGGGTGATTTCCCTGGGACCAGCTCTACGATTCCCCTTTCTTTCCCTCTCCAGCGCATCTAGGGTTGCTTGGCTGCTCCCTGGACACACTCTGGAATCTCGCATCTCCGGCCCTTCCCCGTCAACCACACCCAATCCTTACCCCATTCGCTCACACCGCCCTGCTCCATCCATCGCCTCCCAGATCCATTCCCATCACCTCCGCACCCAATCCCCAACCCTGCTTCGCAAACTCTCTCCCTCTCTCTCCTCCCTCCCTCATCTCCCCCCCTTCTGTTCCCCCCCCTTCACACCCAACCCCCACCCTTTCCCCCCCCCCACCCTCAACCACCCACACCTTCCCCCATATCCCCCGGCGCACCTGGTGCCATTGCTCCACTCCACGTCCATGAGCGTGCCCGCGGACAGCTGCGGGCGGATGGCGTTCAGGTTGCGCCCGCCCGGCCAGTCGTACCACAGCTCCGTCAGCGCCAGCCGCCCGCTGCGGTTCTGAAACAGCACCGCGTGGAACCGCTCCGGCCACGGCCGCGGCGAAGGCGGGAAAGGGGTCGGGGGCTCCGCGGAACCCGCGGACGCGTTGGCAGAAGCGGAAGCTTCCGCCGATGATGGATTGTGTTTTTCCGCCGATGATGCTAAGGACGATGCCGCCTGTGACCGCGCTGGTGCTGACACGTGGTCCGCATTTTTGGGACGCTGGATGCCACGTGGCGTGGCACGGAGCTGCTGGAGTAGCGAGTGGGCGGGAGGAGCGCCGAGAGGAGTGCGCTTGTAACCAGGGGAGGACGACAAGGGGGTTGGGTTCCCACGGAAAGTAGACTTTACAGTGGCGTCGGGAATGGGGAGAGCAGTGAGCGGGAGAATGAGGGAGAGGAGGAGGAGGAGGTGTGGAGACAGCTGCGACACCTGCGATGCACTGGTGAGGAGAGACATTGGGGTCTGCAAATGGAACAGAAACTAAAAGCGGAACAGTCCGTTGGTGTGAACGGATATATGTGAGCTCGCAGCAAGGGCGACACAAGGAGGAATTCCCCGGTCGTGTGCGCGAGGAAAGCAATGGAGGGTTTCGTGCATTCCGCTATGTACATGACTACACCATTTTGAATCACAGAGAAAAATCGCATCTATACAATTAAAAAATGAAACAAGTGAATGATATATTAATAATGATACAAAACTGTACATGAAGAAATGACTTCATACAGATCCTCGACAACTAGATGAAGTTTGTTACAATCCCACTGGGGACTTGGTTCAGATCGACTCAGGGTTGATCGCATGGTGATATTGCAGCGGAAGTGATTGACCTCATATCGGAGTGACTATAAAATGACTGAAGTGACTATAACAATGACATACCTAGGTTTATTTAAGAGTGCAAAGGAATACGAAACGACCTAGCTAGCCATGTACTCTAAGGGGTACATTCCCTTATTACATCGAGATTCAACCGTGCGGCGCGGGAACCCATTTCAAACATGTTCCCGCCATTTCCCATTCAAATGTTTCTGCCTGCATCGATCTTTACCTGACAGCTGTTTCCGTCGCTTCGACTCGCCTGAGTCCTTATCTTCATACTCGGTAGTGCTAGATCCTATTGCATACATGAATGTTCTTCATTTTTACTTGATATCGCAACACCCCCTTTCATTCCTGGGCGTAGTAGGTGCTGACTCGCTTGACCACTCCGGTGAGGTTGGGGCAGTGCTGGTACTGCTGATGTGGCAGTCGCTTGGTGAGGAAGTCAGCTGCCATGTCAGTGGTGGGGCAGTACGTCAGATCAACCTTACCTTGGTCGATTTCGTCCTTGACGAAGAAGTACCGCAACGCGATGTGCTTCGTCCTGTTGACGAAGCCGGGATTGTTCGCAATTCTGATCACGCTTTGGTTGTCGCAGTGGAGGCGAAATGTTGGCGGGATTTTTGCCTCTTGATCACCGCGTCCACTATTTCGTATAGGAATACATTCTTCACATCGATCTGTCGTAGCGGTAGGTGCCTGTCGACGACGATGGCGAGTAGAATGTGCACGGAGGTGTGCTGGCTTACGGGGGCAAAGGTCTGGTCGAAGTCGATCCCGTGGCACTGATCGTGGCCGCGTACGACCTACCTAGCTTTGAAGCTTTCAATGGTTCCATTGGCGGCGGTTTTCACGCGGAAGACCCACATTCCCGATAGCACTCTCCTGCCTTTCACTGCTGCTCAGTCGACTAGGACCCAGGTGTCTCGCGCCTCCAGTGCTTTTAGTTCCGCGTCCATAGCTGCACACCACACCTTAGCGTGCAGTACGGTCAGAGCCTGCCTCGGGTTCTTAGGCTCGATGACTCGTGGGGCGTTGGTCGTGGCGGTGTGTAGGCCGAGTAGTTGTAGTCCCGTGACGTCGGTGTCGTGGCGTTCCTCAGTAATTACTTCCTGCACGTCGTCGTTGTCGCTTTTAGGTGCAGGTGAGGGGCTCCTTACTGGGTCTTGGCGCCTTCACGGTCCGGATGCGTTGCTGTCGTCGTCATTGTCGTCGTCATCGTCGCGCGAGCGAGGGGTTTCGCCAGGATGTTCATTGCGGGTGTCGCGGTCGAGGGTCACCGCTGCGGCTTCATCCTCTGGGGAGGAGAAGCTCATGCCTCCATGGGCGTAGGCCTGTGTAGCTCCTGGTTGCTCATCGGCACGGTATCTGGCAAGAGTGAGACGTTCGTAGAACATGACGTCTCGTGCAGGAGCCATTTTGTTGGTCTGCAAATCCGAGATGAGCCACCCCTTGTATTCCCAATCGGCGCGGTCGGTGAACTTGCCGATGGTTGCGGACGTGGGCCTGTACTGCACCATGCAGCCCTATGCCCGCAGCATTGAGGTGTCGCCCTTATTCCCGGTCCACTTCACGTGAGGTGAGAGGTTACCCGTGTTTGCCCTGGTGGAGAGGAGGTTGTGCAGTCTCATAGCATGGTGCATCGCGTACGTCCAGTACTTCGCGGTCTGTCGTGAGGGGTGACTGAGGCGTTGGTGCCATAGGTCTTCAGTTACGCGGACCCCAGGCATGCGGAGGTATCTTGCACGCGCTTCTGTTAGAGACTAAGGACGGAGTCTATGAAGATTAGGAGCCGAAATATCTCAAAATCGTTAGGCCTAGTTTCTGGACAGAAAAGTCGAGTTCACAAGAAACGCCGTTGACGAAAAGTTCACGGTTAAAACTTCACCAAACTCAGATATGTTGTAGCCCTAGTCTGTGGCTACAATTCCCAATTTGAATCGTACGATATGGTGAAGTATTTCTTGAGGTATCAGTTTCGGCGCACTAGGGGGTATGCTGCCATAGAATCTTAACTCAATCACAAAGTTCACACAATTTTCACACAAGGAAGTAAGAGTAGCAATTAACCAGGTGGGAGGGAAGAGGAGGACGAGAAGGAAGGTCCCCAAGGAGTCCCCAACCAAGGAAACCCCATAAGCACACCAAATCCCTTCCCTATAGGAACCCCACTTTTACTTTTGTCACTTACCAACCCATGCCATCCACCTTGCCCAACTTGGCCACACTTGCCAACCTGGTTTGGCACCTCCCAACCACTTGGCAGCATCTACAGTGATGATGACGAATTTCCCAACCCCCAAAAGTCTATACCCCTTATGGAGTCAACCCCACAACTTCCCATAGTCACCACAACCAAAGATCAAAAGCATACGAACTTCCAACGTTCGTAACTTTCTTGTTCGTGCTCCGATTGAAGCGATACTTGGTTCGTCGGAAAGCTCTTGAGCAGAGGAGTCACTTCAGATATCCGCTCAAGCCAAATAACATTCACACACACTCAGAAAAACCAAACCACATCAAACACAAATTCTTGCACACGCTCACACCACGCATGCAACGCACGAACATGTGATGGGAGGCAGACGGACGTGAATGCAAGGGATAGCATCACATAACAGCTTCTTCGGGAGTTTCCTCAGGTTATGGCTGCGTTGTTGCTGCTGCTTATTCTGTTGCTGCTTTTGTGTCTGTTATTGCTGCTTTTGCTTCTGTGTTTCTGTTGCCACTTCAACTTGTGTTGGCAGGGTTGATAGTGCGCCAAAAAGTTGTGGTCGGGGATGACGGAGAGACGAGTGTCGGTTCCTTCAATGTTTCATCCCAGCGGATCTTCTGGTTCGAGGACGGGTCCGAAGGCGTCCCGTCGTGGAGTTGGTGGCATGTTGCCCCAATCGACGTAAGTACTCTAGTAGCTTTGGGGAGGTTCGCGGGGAGCCGCGAATGATGGGGGGTTAAGTGAGGGTTGGCCGAGGGGAACTATGGTAGTGGTGACTTCTTCTCCCCCTTTAGTTCCTGTCGAGTATGCATGCCCATCCAGTTGCTGCACCCGAGTTGCCCCAATTTCCTTCAGCAGCAGCCCAAGTTCTGTCGGTGTCCCCTCCGCCCCATCCTCCTTCAGCAGATGCTCCTTACCCCCCTTCAGTAGGTGATTCCCAACCCCATCTTCCTTGTTCCCGGGCTTGCCGACGAAGCTCCTTTGCTTCACGTTGTACCTTTTCTTCTTCTTCCATAATGTTGAGCTCCTCCTCTTTGTCGGGATCGGGCCAATCTTTGTAGATTCTCCGGTGAATTTCCCGGGTATAGGGGCGTGGTACCCCATCTTCATCGCACGTATCTTGGGATTCCCCTTGCAGAATCCAACGCATCCTTTCAATGGCTGGTCCAGGGCGCGGTTGTTCTCGTGTGCCGAAGATGCCATACGATGTGGTGGCGAGTTCAGTAGCGGACATCCCTTCTTCGGGCGGCGCGAGGCTTTCTGCCTCCTCAATTGCGTCTAGTCCTTTGCCGACGATGTTTGTGTAGGAAGCGGTACGCACACGACAGTTGGTGCAGAGGCCGTCGGGACCGGGGTTATGCAGATCCGCCTCTTGCCGGTGAAGTTTGTGCTTGATCTAGGGTCTGCCGTCTGGGTGTTTCCAGGAAGATTCTGATGTGTACTTGAACTCATGGGGGACAAGGTCAATGACTTCGTCGGAGGAGCCACCGTATTCTGGCATGTCGAAGTTGAGAATGTAAATGCCGTTAATTGACCGTGCTCTGCCGATGTACGCGTGGTTTGTCGGGGACGGCGAAGTGAAGCAAGATGTCGTGCGAGATTGGATCGGTGCAGAGTTCAACTCCGCAGTCGGAGAGTTCACCACGGATAGCAGATTGAAGCGGAGGTCTTGCACGATGAGCACATTGTTGAAGGTGATGTGCGTGTTGCTGTCTCGTGCCTTGTGTACGACCATTCCTTGTGCACTTGCCCGCAGTTTCTCGTTGTTCGCAATGGTGATGTAAGTAGCAGTGGCGGTGGGGATAGCGTTTGCAATGTAGCACCGAGATCCCACCATGTGCTGCCTGCAGAAGCTGTCTAGGTACCAGGTGTTGTAGTTGTTACTGCACGAGAGTAGGGCGAGTCATGGCGTGACGATGTGGGGCATGTCAACTTTAAGGATATCTACGCGCTCGTTCCGGTCAGTTGGTGCCGGCCTTGGATCGTAGTGGTGCGGGGGGCTCTCGATTAGTGGAATTGCTAGGTTCCAACCTTGTTCTTCATCGTCGTTGTAGTCGTGATCGAGGGTAAATGGGTTATTGTCGGCCTTCGGCTGTATCGCCTTGTAAACGTCTTTCGGATCGGGCGTGGGTGAGTGTTGTTCGAAAAGGCGATGTGTCCCCCTTGTGCGGCGCATCACCATGTTGCCAATGATGTTTCTTGCTCCTCCTGTTTGTGCTGCTTGTGGCTACTGCTGTTGCGTAGGTGGACGGGGAGCTGACTGTGCTTGGCGTGCGTCTTGTCAGCCGACCCAGTTGTTCGGGTGAGTGGAGGTTGGGTGGCGAGTGTCGGAGTGGTATTTGCATCGCTCAGTAGAGTGCCAGAAGGTCTTGCAGATCTTGAAATAGTGGCGCCTTGGTTGTCGTTGCTCTTCCTTGTT